AAAAAAAAAAAAAAAAGGCATTTGTACATTGACTATTTTTGACTCTCTTTGCTGCTCTCCTTCTAGAATTTAGATAAAATGGTGTTTGGACTCAGATTGGGCAGTGGGAAGAAGAATTTAAAAGGAAAAAAACCAGAATGAGCAGTTAACATCTCAAGTAATGACAGCCCCGTGTGTTTGGGGTGTCATAGAATTAGGAAGATCAGGGTAGAAACTGGGCATGGAACCAGGAATCTATATTGGGTAGCTCAGGAGATAAATGAGGGTGTGTTTATGGCAAGGGGTCTGCTTCTCAGCCTTTCTACAGGTATAGGTCTCATTTTCTCATTTGTGCTGTTAATAGTCAAGCTGTAAGATTTGAATAAGATTTGCATTTTGTTGAATGCCTAGTGTTAAATGACTACTTGATTTTGTATGTCTAAACTGTTCCTATGACTGACATCGTAAGGTTAGTACAGAATCTTTCTTATTTAGAGGACGTGAGGTGAAAACATTCCTGTCCTGATGTGAAATTGCTGAGCGTTTGCTATGAGGACACTTTGGGTTGGGCTCACTTCCCTCTCAAGCTGAGCTGTTTAACTTCCTCAAAAGTCATGTGTGGCGTAGGGTCAGAGAACTGTGGTTTCTTTCAATCGGTTCACAGGGAATTATCTGGTGTGACTACGATTTCAGACATTCTTCCTAGGTGGCTGCTGACTGTAAAACCACGCTGAGCCCTTGGTTGCAGGCTTTACAAGAGTTGTGGTGATTGCTGTGAGGCCTGGGAAGGTTTCCAACTGCTACACCATTCTCACAGGGGTTAAATTTCACAAGGTTAGCGGGAGCAGAGGCAGCATGCCTGTGAATCTCATCCAGATGCCTCAGTGAAGTTGCATGCCTGCTGTAGGACTAGGTGATGTTGTCCTTCCTGAGAATCTGGATTAAATTCTGTCTTGATGATGACTGATCTCTTTTTTTTAAATAAAATTGTCGGCAACTTTCAATCACGTGTTCTTCAGAATTTGAAAACCTTTTCACACGTCTAGTGATTTCTAAATTACTATATGTTCAGTTGATATCATCATATAACTTCTTGTAAGTTAATTTTGAGTCTCAGTAGATGTGTTCCTTAAACTGTATGAATAAATAAATCTTACATAAAATTTAGTCACATTTAAGGTATGTATACAGAATCTACTGAGAAAAATCCTAACAATTTCATGTGAAAGGAGAGGTCTTTTTTAAGGTGAAAATTAAAATATACTCAAGGTAGCTTAAGACAATGTGTTTAAATCTGAGTAACTTCTTTTCATTTTGGAGATCACACAACCTCTGAAGCTCATTCTGATGCTTCTGATCTTTGTTTCCAGCAGTCTCTGGTCCCGGCCCATCCCATGGCCCCACCCAGTCCCAGCACCACCAGCAGTAATAACAATAGTAGCAGCAGTAGCAACTCGGGATGGGATCAGCTAAGCAAAACGAACCTCTACATCCGAGGACTGCCTCCGAACACCACCGACCAGGACCTGGTGAAGCTCTGCCAACCGTAAGTAGTAGTAGTTACCTGCTAAATATTTCCTTGATTGTGTTGTAGAGTAATATGCATCGTGTTATATGAGAGGACTCTTAATGTCACAATGGTAAAATGGGTTTCCAAGTTTTAAGTCCTTGGACACTTAGTATTAATAACATCGTTAAAATGTCTATAACAAAATAAATGCGGCATTTTCTCAATATTGGCAAATAATTGGTAAAATGTCCATTTTTTAAAAAACTAACTTATGGGTAGATCTTTTTCAGGAATGTTTATTTGTGGATGTACTTCTGGAGAGCCCAGGCTATCCCATAAGAGAGACACTTTAGCTGTTATTGTTTGTTGGTATTTAAACATCTAGTCTCCTCCTAAATATGTATGAATCTCTTAATTCCAGCTGGACCGATATTTGTCCTTGTTAGTACCTGTAGTTTTGTGGTCTGGGTCACTCACCCTCATCTCTTTAAGAATAAGAACTCACTTCCACTCTTTGTGAGTCTTATGAAGAATGTGTGCATGTATATAAACTTGTGAAGTAAATTTGCATTATATGCTAATGTTGTCAATGAAGAGATTATAATTGCACTACTTTGCTTCAATTATATCACTAATTTAAACTAAAGAGCCAAAAGCACTGGATAGTGCAAAGGTCCTTGTGTAAAGACTGAAAGCATCAAATTACATTGAGTTATAAAAACCTACACATATAACGGTGCTTTTTATTTCTCCTAAGACAATGATGCTCCCTTACAAAGGGAATAATGCATAACTGTGGAAGAAGACTTATACTGGAGAATGTTTCCTATTCCCTGAAAGCTATTACCATTTCAAAACATCTGATTTGATAGCATGTTATTTCTTTTGTCCTGGGTAAAATCCAGATTTATTACTTCCTCTTTTCTTTTAAGAAAAAGAATTTTTTCAAGCTAATCTGGGCAATATTTACAAACTAGAACTAAAAGTAACATCAGACCTTCCATTAGGACATTGAGATTGTTTTGTTTTATTTTGTTTCTAAGAGAGGAGAGTGGTGGCACTTTAGGGTCTGGAGAGCTTTCTAGAAGGCCATCACTCCTAGCACTCTCTTCTTGGCTTCCAGGGCAGTGAAATAACGCCCTGCACTGGGGCCTGCAGTGAAAGCTGGTCCAGTTCTGGATGGCTGCCTGGAGGCCGAGGGAGCCCTGCCAGGTATGCCCAGCCCCGTGCAGCTGATCAAGACCACAAATAGGCCTTTTGCTGTCTTGTCTGCTGCTGGCCTTTCATTGGCGTCTCCTTATGCTTTTGCAGTATAATTACAGGTAGATAGAGCGCCATCAAGTCTCAGGAACTAAAAATATAACTTTGTAAGAAATAAAAAAGTGAAGCTAACTCTCTGACTCTTGAGGTGGGAGAAAAGGGGAAAGGAATTCAAAGACAAATTGTTCCTCAGCTAGCATTGAATTAGGTGAGTTTTAACATCAAGGAGATGCTAACCGTAAAATAATAGAGTAACACTGTGTTTTATTTACAGTAAATATGCACTTGAAAAATTGATCCAATAACTTCTTTTATTAAATCGAGCTATATCCCAAATGCAGAAGAGTATTTTATGATTTTCTTAGGTAATTCATTCCTTTTTTTGTTGTTATTCTCTTTGATGTATGTAGATTTTTTTACATTTGTAAATATTGTCTTCGCTATTACCAATAGCTACTAACTGTTTCTGCTTTTACTCTCTCTTGTCATTTGCAAAGGAATGTTCCTATAAAATCCCAGGTTTGATACTTAACTCTGATGTTAGTTTCTTAGGTATGTACCACGTAGAGGCAAAGGCATAATAATAATAGAGGATTCTATGTCAAAGTCTGCTGGAAACTTCATCCCATGTAACAGAGAAACTAATAAATACCAAATCTAATTTACTGGCAGTTTTATGTCTCAGAATATAGAGAAAGCAAAAAAGAACATTTCTGTTCTGGGCTTCATTGTTTGCGATAAAGAATAGCCATTTCGTGACATGGAAGTGAAAAGTACCTTACGGGAAAGTGACTCATCTTGGAGCTTAAAAACCCAGTACACATAGAGATTTTATTTATTTGTTTATTTGTTTATTTTTTGAGACAGAGTCTCACGCTGTCACCCTGGGTAGAGTGCTGTGGCATCATAGCTCACAGCAACCTCCAACTCTTGGGCTTAAGCGATCTTCTTGCTTCAGTTTTTCTAGTTTTAGTAGAGAAGGGGTATTGCTTTTTTTTGTTCTTCCTCAGACTGGTCTCGAACTCATGAGCTCAAGCAGTCCATCCACCTCGACCTCCCAGAGAGCTAGGATCATAGGTAGGAGCAACTGCCCCTGGCTTATAATTAGAGATTTTAGAAAATTGGGTATCAGAAACTTCTCAGAAAAGATAGGTATAAATCCCTAGTTCTAACAAAGAACAAAAGAACATGTTAGAACTAAAAGTAATTAGCGCTGTAATTATGAATTGACCTGAAGAGGCTGTGTTGGGAATAGGGGCCACTGTTGAAACAGATGATTTGGCTGTCTAGGAGATTTGGATATTTTAGAGGGATGAGAAAAGAAACCCAAGAATGTTTATGATAGTGGCCCATTACAAAATGCATGAAGTCTAAAGGTAGGTGTGACAGGGAGATTTTAACAACTGGAAAGAAAAATTTTAAAACTTTCTGAAAAGCTGTGTTTGGCGTAAAACATTGAGATGCTGTAATGTTCGAAGAAATGACAATGAAAAAGCAGAATTTGTGATGTTAAAAGAGGTAACAGGGAAGATGTGGCTTCACCTGCATTCGCAGACGCGTGACACTGGAAGGATGGGTCATCGTACAGTTCAGAGGAAGGGACACTGAGGGCAGGGGATCGGAGTGGAAGGTGGCTAGTCTAGGTTAGTGAAGGAGACCAGCAGCAAGGGTTAGATGGGGTGGTGGGCCAGGTAACATGGATTGAAAGTAGATACATTCTCTGGGTGCATTTAATGAAAGCAGCCAAGTGGGGGGAAATCGTGGGCCCTCATGACCGCTGCAGGCTGCTGCAACCTTACCTCCTCTTTCTAAACGTTTATTACTCAGAAAAAGTACTCAGTACAGTTAGCCAGAAGTTTAGGGAGTGGAATCATCTGGGAAGCAGAAAGGATTAATCTACTGCCCCTTGACCCTCAGAAAGTCTTAATTCTCTCCTTTTTCTAAAATCAAGCCAAAATCCTCTGAGTGACTCTGCCTATTTGTGTGATACTTGTCATACAAACATTTGCTGATAAAATACTTCTCTCATTGACACTTGTCAGACTAACTTTCTAGACAGATGAGTGGAGGCTGTCATTACTTCCACCTTCTTGCCATCTGGCCTTCTCGTATGTTGCCTTCAGGTTCTCCACTGAAAGTGCACGGGCAGCCTAAATTCGCCTGTTTAGCCAACCCTTTTTTTTGGTCCTCTGTTGTCCACCTCAACTCTTTGCCTGCTTGGTTTCTGTTTTCTTGGTTGGTTCCTTAATAGCACTATCCTCTCGTAGGGTTTTTTCTCTGCTCTTTTCAATTTTCTACACATTTTCCACTTGGAAGTTTTATTTGTACCTCAAATTCAACGTTATCTCCTCCCTCTCAAAACTGTCTCTTTATCAGATTTATGCTCCTAAATTCGAAGCTTTGGAGCAGTCATCCAACACTTGTCCCTGTCCCCGCTTAGTCACCAGGTCCCGTAGATTCTTCTCTGGACTTTCTTCTTCCCTCTTCTCACTGTCAGAAGAACCGAGTGATTCCTTCGTCCATCCCTCTTGTGAGAGGGGAGCGCCGATTTCTCCTGCTGCCACTTGACCTGAAACTTTTCTCTTCCTCAGTTTTGCAAGGCCAAAGCAAAACTCTCTCCTTCTCTCCTCCTTTGTGCTTGGACCACACTAATAACTCCCCTCTCTCTTTTTTTCCTTATTTTTATATCTTTCCGCCTCGTACTCAGCATCCTGTTTTCAGACAGTTCTGTTCTTCAAGTGCCTCACGTTACTGTGTCCGGGACAGTATATGGTGCTAACAGCACATCTTCGCAGCAGTGTTGTTAGTTTTTAGGTGTCCCACGGTCATCTACTGCAGTGCTAGGTCAGTACCAAATTCTCAGTCAGTAACCTGTAAAATAGGTCAGATAATGCTTTTATCATAAATTTGTCACCGGAATTAAATCAAATAATATAAGTAAGAAAGAACTAGTCCAGAACTTAGAACACATCTGCCACAGAACAAATTTTAGTATCCTGTGTTCCTTTGCTCCTCAGAATTGTACCTACTACAGTAAGCTTAAATTATATTTCATTCTACGTTTAAAACCTACCAGATTCTGATTTTAAAAACTGGGAAAGCTAAGGAAGTAGGTTTTCTTAACATAACCTCCAATCTCCTCTCCCTTGAGGTACTTTTTGGCGTAAGCATACCTCGATCTGTCGCACTCTCCTGCGCTTCACAGATACTGTGTTTTTAAAACAAACTAAGGTCTGTGATAGTCCTGCATTGAGCAAGAGTAACAGTACCATTTTTCCAAAAGCATGCACTCACCTAGTGTGTTTGTATCACAATTTGGTGATCTCACAATATTTGAAATTTTGCGTCCTTATTATATCTGTTATCGTAATCTGTGATCATTAATCTATTGGTGTAACTATTGTAATTGTTTTGGGGTGCCACGGGCCATGCCCTTTAAACAAACTTAGTCAATAAATGTGTATGTTGTCTGTTTACTGATTGTCCTATCCTCCATCGTTTTCCTCTCTTTGGGTCTCCTAATTCCCTAAGACACAACAATATTGAAAATAAGCCATTTAATAATCAACATAATGGCCTCTAAGTGTTAAAGTAAAAAGAAGAGTTGAGTTGGTATGTCTTATTTTAAATCAAAAGCTAGAAATATGGCCAGGTGCAGTGGCTCACGTCTGTAATCCTAGCACGCTGGGAGGCCAAGGCAGATAGATTGCTTGAGGTCAGAAATTCAAGATCAGCCTGAGCAAGAAGAACCTATCCTTTCTACAAATAGAATTAGT